TCTGTGATCTGCAGAGTTGCTGATGTTCATGGTGTGAAGATGAGAGGATGAGAAAATAAAGAAAAGATGGAGCCCTTACTTTCCTGAAGGGAGGAGAGGACCTGCCTCTTCACTTAGGGGCATTTATTTATACTTTTACCATCTTAATGTCAAAAGACATCCCATTGTCCAATTAAACCACTGTTCAGATGATATTAGAGGTTTTCAAGTGGCTGTGATGATTGTTAACAACACTGTGGTGTATCAAATGGCTTCATGCCACCAGATGTATAGGTCTCCCAAAATGTAATGCAGGGGTTGTTTATACTGATAGACTTTCACTTTGAACTCAGGCCTTTAACAAAAACTTAAGAGATGTACATCTCACTGAAGGTCAGCAAGTTAGGTAAAGCTTCTTATGTATTAGATAGGGATGGTTGACTAAAAGGGAAATTTTATGTCAAGATGGAAATTCAGGGTGTTACAAAATGTCATCATGATGCTACATTGCTATGTATAATTTTGATTTCTAATTTTCTGTGTAAAATATATAACTGTTAACGTTCTGTTGGGATTCAAATGTTAAAATAGCCATGGCTTGTAGGAAATAATCCTTCTATTTCATGTTCTAAGGTGCCTGATATTCAAGTAACATAGTGATGTTAATCTTATTGCCTGTATTACACTGAACTATTATCAAACCCTTCTTCTGGGTGTTCAACAACTGAGGTTTGCAGAACAAAAACTAGAGATAGAGATGGGCCAAGAGAATAGGCAATATTTTGGCCCTGGCCCTCTGAGGTCAGTGAGGATCTAGGACATAAGAGAGCCTCTGCTGTGACATCCTATACTGGGTGAGTCGCTGATCATCTCATCAAGGAGATTGTGGGACCACAGATAAGAGTGATCAAAGGTGCATAATGTGCCTACGTAAAGTCACAGGAGAAAAAAATGTCCTGAGCCTTCCTGGAACACACCTTGGTCAAAGGAGGGCCGTGACTCCTCCAGAGGGTGACAGTGACAAAAGAAGTAAGAGGTGCTGTGCACAGTACAAGACAATTCCTGAGGAGGCTTAGTGGCCCTTGATAGATAGCAAGAGATTGAGTGCGGTTAATACAGGTCTCACCTTAACTTGGTCTGAGACATGCTGCATAAAAGTGTAACTACAAAAGATATAACACAATGCCCTAGTAAATGTTAGCTCTAAAAAGAAACTCAGATCACTGACACTTTCTGACAGTTGCCAACTACACTGGTAACTGACTAATGCTAGGATTAATGAAGTGTACCAGGTTAAATGGATAAATGCAGGGACCTAAAATCCTCGGACTGCAAATCTTTAGCTTAAGTAAGTTCACTCAAAATGAAAAGTGTTTGAGAATGGAAAGTTCTCCAGTTTTCTAAACACAGCTCCTTCCCCTTCAATGACCACCCATCGCTTCCAGCTACCAATCAGAAATAGAGAAGATGTAGGGAGTGGCAGAAACTGGAAATAAGTCATGCGTGGGGGTCAAGCAGAGGCAGGTTCCGGCACAAATTGCTCCAGAGGCAAGCTGCTTCACTCCAGAGAACACCCAGCTCCAAGATAACCCAAGCCATCGGTTGCTAGGCAAAGTGGTGTCACATGACATCAATTTGCCAGATGGTTAAATGAAAGCACTGCAGTGGCTGAGCACTTCCTTTCCTGCCATCTAGAGCGAGCTTTGCCTGATCTCAGCTTTGGTCTCTGTTCATTTTTCTTCCCCCCAGGGACATCTAGAGCTGTAATGGATCACTACACTCTTGTTTCCACGGATTTTTGTGTCTCCAGGAATTTGCCCATTTTTAACTACAGAATTCTTTAAAACTCTTGGATTTCTTTTTCTTTTCACAGAATCTGTAATAGCATCCCCTTTCAAGTCTGATCTTTGTTGTCTTCCTTCATTCTTATCCCACTTAGCAATAGGTTCATTGAAAGGACATGGTAGCCAGTAAAGCCTTGGAGGTGGAACCAAGGGGCTCCATCTTCCCTGCCCCTAGGAATTTACCTGTGGCCTAAAATAAGTACCCGTGGGCTACCTGTGCATCACTAATGCCCCTTAGGCACCACCCCAAATCTAAGATACATATATGCCCCCACTCCACGTGTCTGACAGAGAGAATTCCAGCCCCCGAGACCCCGTGGGTTCAGGGGGCCTCTTCCTGCATTCTTAAAATAAAGGTCATTTATATTTCATACTTTTTGTCTTTTTATCTGTGCTAGAATTGTATCATGTGGTTTCCTGACCGGGAATCCAATTCTATCATTCATCAGTCTTGTTAGTGCTTTTCAAGAATCAGTTTTAGTTTCATGAATTTTATGTGTTGTTTTCTGACTCTCTGTGTCACTGGGTGTTGCATCCAGGGAGCACTGACCTATATCCCTGTCCCCCACTGCACACAAACCTTTTTTGAAACAAGTCCACGCTGAGTTGCCCAGACTATCCTTGAACTTGCAACCCTTCTGTCTCATCTTCCCTGTCTGGGTTAGCAAACCCAGCTATTGAGTTTATGTCTTATGTATTTTCTCCCTTGTGCTATCTTTGGATTTCATATGCTGTTAGTTTTCTGGTTTTAATTTTGTTCATTTTCAGTGCAAGTATAGGCAGTTGTACATTTCCCCTCTGATTTCTACATTTTCCCTCTGATTTCTACTTTGGCTGCATTTGATGAGTTTTGTATGCTGTGTTTTCCTTCCCATGGACCTCAAATTATTTTCTATTCTATGACCCATTGGTTGTTTAAGGAAACACTGCTTCATTGCCACACATCTGGCAATTTTCCTTCTGCTGATTTCATACTTCTTCCATCATGGCCAGAAAATAGTTTTATGTGAGTTCCCATTTTTAAGAACATATTGAGATGGTTTTGGGGCTGCTGTTTGGTGTATTGTAGAGAATGTTTCGTGTGCACTTGAGGAAGATGAGTTCCCTGAAGTTGTTGGGCGGTGTGTTCCGCATCTATGTGTGAGGCCTCAGTGAGAATGGGGTTGTCCAAATCCTGAATTTGCATCATAATCCTATCTATAGTTATTTAATGCAATACACACAATGGGTTACTACATGTTAGAAATCCTATGTTCTTTCTGCACTAGACTTTTTCTCAATGTATGATAGCTTTTTCTCTTGAAGTCTCTTTGACCTCACGTCTATGACACTGATACATTCACGTCTGATCATTTGTGATTCCTGTTTGGATAGAATGTTGTTTCCCAAGCTTTTACTGTCAACTTCTTCTTTTTTTTTAATTTGACATTGGAATGTCAAATAAAGCCTTCCCATGAAGCAAGCCCAGCTATGGGGATGGGGAAGAGCCTCAGGCAGAAGAGAAACCACGCCTTCCTGTGAGCCAACCAGTGCACAGGCTGAAAAGCAGAAGAGCATCCCCACCCTGCCCCACTGACTCAGAGCACTCAGGGTGAGATGACAGCCGCTGAGGGGAGGGAATAGCTTGGTGCTGCTGCTGTTTGGTTGACTCTGCGGGCCTGGGCTGGTGGTCTGGGCATCTGCCTGGAGGATGGCAGTGCACATCATGTGAGCTGTGGGGGATGTCCTCCTGGTTTTTTTTTTTTTTGAAATCCAATGTTGTGTTCCATTTTACTGTTTTGTTTTGTCCCTGTCTGCTACCCTAAGCGCTACTTTGAAGATAGCAGTGTTCAGTGTTGTTCTGCTTGTTCTTGTTCCATGTGTTGTTTTGTTTTGTTCAATGTTATGTTTTGGTTGGTTTTCTTCTGTTTTGTTTTGTTTGATTTTGCTATGTCTGATAGTCTGGACAACTGTTGTGAAGACAGCAAGATATATTATAGTAGGCCTTGTTGATTTCCTATTAGCCTGTTTGGAAGTTCAGTATGACTTTCACTGTTTGTTTATTCTTTTGTTTTGTTGGGTTCTATTCTGTGTAAAATAAAATGTAATAAAAATAAAATTCTAGCTTGTAATCAGCATGTAGGTGATCTTCTTTCTTGAGCCAATCTATAGTCTTTGGTTCTACTTTCAACAAAAGGGTTTAAATTAGATACATTTAAATTAACTACTGAAAAGAAAGGCTTCTACCATTTATCTTCGTGTCTTGCACATCTTACCTTTAGTTGTTCCTATATGTTTGCATTACTGTCTTCTTGCCGTTAGTGGCTATTTTCATGTCGAGCTTGGTTACCTTTTTCTTTCCTTTTATGCATTCTTCTCTACTTTCTCATTGATTTCGTTGGTTAAACTCAGTATGTTAAACATAAAAACCTCATTTCAGTAATAAAAAATTATATCATGTAGTACAAAGTCTGTTCTTTTCTATCTCAATCCCACCAACGTTATACTGTTATGTCCCAGATTACAAGTTTATATATTGTGTGCCGGATAACGTAGAGTTGTAATTAATGGGTTATTCATTGGTGTTTTAAATTAATGAAAGAATAACAAATATGGGAGGAGAAAATCACACAGGAGAATAAACAGGAATTACAAACCTAAGATTCAGCAACACCAACATTTGTAAGCGCCTAGGTGCTCAAGCTGTCTAGTTTTTGTTTCTTACAGCTTTGAGTTACTGTCTAGTGCAAGTTCATTGCAGCCTGGTGGGTACTCCAGCGCCTCATGGAAGGTGAGTGCACTGTTAATGAAGTCCCTCTGCTGCTTTTTCCTGGCATTGTCTTGACTTCTTCGTTCATGTCAGGTAGTTCAGCCATAAGGAAAAACTTTGTGGAACACTCTTATTTTCTATCACCGCTTAAACATATTATCTCATCTTTTGAACTGCATAGTGTCCAATGAAAAATTAGCTGGAAATGAGTAAGGAAACATAGGGAGCTCTCCTTGCATGTGATGAGTCTCTTCTCCTTACTACTTTTAAACTTCTCACTGCAGTGCCCTCCTTGACCTAGGGTACCTGAGCCCATCCTGCCCATTAGTCAACCCAGAGATTGGGCTGGAAGAGGAACGGACTACAAGTCCCAGAGATCTCTGCGCACTTGCACTTGACTGCCTGTCCCAGGGCCTTCGGGGCCCTGGGAAGTTAAATCCCAAGGGCCCTAGGTGGGGCTCTAAGTATTCATTTTTGAGCCTCCTCAGTGGCATGTTCCTCTGAGTGCCTTGGCACTGGTTTCTGTCCACCTCTCGGTCCTCGGATCTCTCGAGGTAAAGGGCGCCCAGCCGAGACCTGTCTACCCCGGGAAACTTTGGGGCCTTGTTTCCCAGGCGAAGGATGAGGAGGAGGCTCCCCCAGCACAGCAGGGCACCCCCCCCCCAGCCCCTGACATCGGGAAGCCCCCAGAGAAACGGGCGCTGTCCCTGCTCGCCAGACTGGAAGGGGCTCCCCGCCTTGGCGCTACACCGCCCCCAGTTGGTGGGCGGTGCAGGGAGGATAGGGCGAGCGGCTGGGGCGCCGGGGCCGGGCCTGCGGGACTCACCGGGACTGAGGACCGCCGGCCCGGAGTGTGGAGGAGGCCGGCGCGGGGCTGGCGTCCACAGCCTTTAGACCCAGGTTCTGGAGGTGATGGGGCGGGCAGGGCTGGCCGATGAGGCGCCTCCAGTGGCATCTTCCTGGTCTGGGCCCACCCAAACCGTGAGTGGGGAGAGGAGAGGGCTGTCTCTTTCAGGCCACCTTGGAGGCCGACCCCTGCCCCACCACCCGTTTAATTAAGTTCAATTGAAGGGTACAAGAATTTGACAGTGAACCCGAAAGGAGTCTGACAATGACTGCCCACAGACACCAGCTGGACACGCAATTATCGGTCTATTATATTTGGCCATAGTTCTGTTTTAGAGTATGTGCTGCGGAAGCCAGCACGCTTGTCACATTTCTGCCCCCCCCCAAAGGTCCCTGGGACTTTTGTTTGTTGTGAATTTCAGAGTCACGTGGGGGCCATCAGAATATCCCTGTAAACTGGTCAATAGCACATATCAGCAACTAGAGTCTTAGAATTCTTCCTGCTTCTTGATTCAGAAATAGCAGCCTGGGTATTTGAAAGTCTTTTAGCTCTCAGCTCTGAAAGGTCTTAGGTTTTTCCATGTAGTGTAAGTCCTTTGCCCTTTGTCTGCTTGCTGAATTCTTACCTGTCATCCAGGGAGGTACTACCCTAGGGTCATTGTCCCGGCTGAGGAAGCAGTCCAAGCTCCTAAGTGACTGTCTCCTGGCTGTCAGATCACAGGGACGAGGGAACTGCAGCCAGTTATCCTGAAACAGGAGTTGAATGGAAAGAGCAGAAGAAAACTTGGACTCTAGCAGCTCTAGACAAACTGCTTTTTCTGTCTAAATCTTCGGTCATCAACTAGAGCTTTTAGCTGAGGAAGCCAAGGAATGTCCCCTTACTATGCCTGTGTTCTGGCAAAGGGCTGTGGATAGTGGACATTTGAGTTGACTATCATATAAAGTTCACTCGGGTGACACCAGCCCTCAGGCATAGGCAGTGTGTATGGAGAGTTGTGAGAAGTGCTGGCAACTTCCTAAGGGCAGAAGTGGACAGAGGTGGCCGGGGATGTAGTTCAGTGGCACAGAGCCTGCCTGGCAAGCACAAGGTCCTGAGTTTGAATCATGGAACAGGGGAAAAAAAAAAGTGGACATTGGTAGGACTGGGCTATGAGGTTGAGCCCAGACTTTTGCCTTTAAATGTTGACTATTAGGTGAAAGAGTAGATCTGAATGCTTTTGAACGTGCAGTTTGTAGAACTTGCCATCTGGTTAGTGTTTCCGAGAATGCTGTCAGCTGTCCCCCTCGGTGTCTTGGCTGCAGACCTTGTCCTCCAGTGCAGTCTATATGGCATGTGCTGCTCAGTTCTGTGGAGAAAATGGTCCCAGGCATAGTTCCTAAGGCTCATGACCTGGCTGGGAGATGAGTCCTTTAGCCCAAGCTGCTAAATCCCCGTGACTGTGACTGACCATTGGCCAGGCTTGGAGACCACTGTTTCTGATGCTTTCTGTACACAGCAAGCTCATCTTCCCTTCTCAGTTGGAGAACTCTGTCACTGGGCCTCATCTGACCCACTGAGTTTTGCTTAAAATCTTCTGTAATGTTTTTCTCAAGGGTGACTTGCCTTCCCAGGTGGGTGATTTCCTGAGGGAAGGACCAGGAAAACAGTGACCCCTGTCTAAGGTCCCACAATAGTATTCCAACTGAGTAAATGACTATATTCCTGTGAAGACAGGCATTTATTATTATTAAGCACTCAGGGAAGTTTTCATATTTAATTATCATCACCTCTCAACTTTTCACTAAGATCAAGTGTACTATCTAATTTAATTATGCAACTTAGACTTGTCATTATTTTGATTATTATTTGTACCAGGAATGAAACCCAGGGCCTCGCGCTTGCCAGGCAGGCACTGTGCCACTGAACTGCATCCTCTGCCCTATTTTCTAAGATAATTTATTAAGTAAAAATACTTTTTAGTAGCTGTAATGTAGAAAGTACAAAAAGTGTATCAAGTTTTCATGACTTTGTTAAAATTACACACAGTGCTACTGCTCAAAGGATTGCATACATATTAATTTTTGGACAGTATAAAGTTGCAAGCAGGTGTTGGCTTGAAAGAATAATTTGATCACGTCTCCCTGCCAGCTCCTGTAAGACCTCTCTTCCCAGAGACTTTTCTTCAGACTCAGGCCTCCCTCACTGTCACAAGTGACTCACGTGGATCAAAAACTTCTGACAAGCACCCGGAGCACTCTGTAAGAATTGGAACCACTTGATCAACCCAGATAGTGATGCATTATTTTTCCCAAAACACGGTCAGATATGCTCCTAGCTAGCATGTGGCCCTTTTTAGTGCTATAATAAAATACTGAAAAGGTCACTTGCTTACTTACATATGTTGACTGTACTAATAGCTAAATGCAGGCTAAGACAAGTCTTCACGCAGTGTGGCCCAGATGAGCCTAAAGTTTGGAAATCCGTCCTCCAAAGTGAGTCCCTCCTCTTCTGGTCTCAGATTCCTCACTTGTCTGTGTGGCCTGGACTCTGTCTTAGTTTCAGTCTCTCCGCAGTTCCTCCATGAACCCTGCAAAAAAACCATCCCAGCCTGATGAATTCAACAACCTGAGGAATTTCCCCCATTGCTCTCAAAGTGCTACTGGCTTGGCATGCCAGCCCTTGACTTTTCTCCACCTCCTCTGGGATATAGACCTTAGTCTCTCCAAAGGGAAGCAAGTTGACATGTGTCCTGGGGGACACTTTTCCACTTTGAGCCATCCCATGGTACCCAACACAGCACTAAGACTTGTTGAGCTTCCGTTCGGTTCTGTCCATGTGCCTGTGCCCCTGGGTATGAGCTAGAAATGAGAGGATGGCTAGATACAGCTGTAGCTTCCCCTGTGTCTGCTGTGCCCTAGCCACTCCCTCTAGCCTTTGGCTGCAATCAACAGAGTAGGTTGGCTCCCAGCACAGGGCAAAGTGCAGCCCAGGCTTGTGTAGAAGGGAAGCTGCTACATTTCCAGGGAGTGGTAAGGGTGTGCTGCCTTGTCCTAGGTGCCTGGAGTAGTGAGGGCCACTGGTTGTGTGCAGAGGGACTCGGTGGTCTGCCAGGCACCATGGGGCTGCTGACTGTGGATGCACTTTTCACTGTGGCCTTGGCCGTGGCTGTGTTCCTGCTCCTGGTGGACCTGATGCACCGGCGCCAACGCTGGGGTGCTCGCTACCCTCCGGGCCCTGTGGCACTGCCTGGGCTGGGAAACCTGCTGCAGCTGGACCTGCACAATATACCATACTCCTTCTACAAGGTAAGGGAAATGGTTTGGAGGGGAGAAGAGAACATGGTGACCTCCCTGTAGCAGACAATTGGTGGCAGGCAAAGCCATAGGCCAGACAGGCCTGAGTTACTCTATGAGGTTTCCCTGGGAAGGCTGCATCCCAGGAGACTAAGTGTGTGATGTGTCAGGACAGAGTCGGCACTCTTAGGAAGACAAGAATGAAGTGGAGGTGAATGAAGTGGAGGTGAAGGGCACAGCAGGACACTGAACTTTCTCACTGCAAAATGTGGAGGACAAAATCCAGGAAGTGAAGCAGGACGTTGCAGCAGCCGTGGCCCGCAGATAGCCGCAGTGGAAGCTGTGTATGCCCTGTGTACATTCTGCTGGTTTCCCATTAAGGGGAGTGGGCCAGGGAGCTGAGCAGCATTTCAGTTGGGAAATTGAGGTTGAGACCAGGGCCATACCTGCTCAGGTCTTACACTGCTGTGAATTGGGGCCTCAGTGCTCACATCGGTGATCCTGAGATTCCTCGTCCATAAAATTGGATGGTGGAGAACCCTACTCACAGTTCTGTGACCCTCTCAGGGCATAAGGGGGTGGTGGGATCTGAATGTACAGTGAATCTTTGACCTTTGAGGACATGGCCCCAGCATCATAATGGCAGATGTTGTGCTGGAGTGGTGCTTCATGGGAGAGTGATTGTCACAGCACAGATGAGGCTTTGAGTTGTACCTGCGCTGCCATGAAGAAAAACAGAAAGCCACCAAGTCTCATTTTTGCTCTGCTTCACCTAGGTCCCCAAGGCCTAGAGAGGGTGTCCTGCAATGAGAATAGGTCCTCAAATTTCATGGATACCTTAAGTCACTGAGCATCCAACCCTTCCACCTCTAGTTAAGGTGCCGCTTCGGGGACGTGTTTAGCCTTCAGGTGGCGGGGAACCCATCAGTTGTCTTCAATGGGCTGGCATCTGTGCGTGAGGTGCTAGTGAACCACAGCGAGGACACCGCAGACCGGCCACCAGTGCCCATCAATGAACTCGTGGGCTTCGGACCACGATCCCAAGGTAAGGGTGATGGGGCATGGGAGGCAGTGGTCAAGGGAAAGATAGGCAGGGTCTACTGTGGGCAGTGATGTGATCAAGGGACACAAGGAAAAGCCAACACATTCTGGGAATGAAGCTGAGAAATGGAACCTGGAAATAGAGACTAAGTTGGTGGTGTGTTGGGATTGAGTCTCTACCCTTGGAAAGAGAAGAATGATGGGGAGATGTAAAGGACACTGCCAGATAGAATTAATCATGAGCATATTGCACATATGCCTGCATCCTAACCAGGGGTCGTCATGGCACCCTATGGACCCGCCTGGCGTGAGCAGCGGCGCTTCTCTGTGTCCACCCTGCGCAACTTCGGCCTGGGGAAGAAGTCGCTGGAACAGTGGGTGACTGAGGAGGCCGCCTGCCTGTGTGCTGCCTTTGCCACCCAGGACGGTGAGTGGTGGGCTCTGCACACAAAAAATGGACAATGTGACGGGAGTAGGTGACAACAGGGACACACCAATCTGTATGCTTTTTCCAGGATGCCCATTTAGCCCAAATACCCTCCTGAACAAAGCAGTGTGCAATGTGATCGCCTCCCTCATCTACGCACGTCGCTTCGAGTATGATGACCCACTCCTGAGCAGGTTATTGGACCTGCAGGCAGAATCTCTGATGGAGGGCCTTGAGTTGATCCCTCAGGTGAGGGGCTCATGGGAGTCCCACAGGGAGTGTTCTGTGCACAGGGTCTCCTTTGGGAAGGGTGGCATGAGGTCTTCTGGGGAGAGGGAATCTGAGAGGCATTTGCAGGAGAAAAACCCAGGGCAGAAAATCTCGGACAACACTAAAGGGAGAGATTGCTCAGGTCAGGGATCCAGAGAGGGTCGAATACTGCCTCCTGTCTACCTTTAAAGCCAATGAGATTTCCAGGGTAGGCTGTTAGTTGTGGCATCCTAGGGCCTGGAGAGAGTATAAAGGATGGCACTTGGCAGGTAGCAGGCCACCAGTGGGGCCAGGCAGGTCCTAGGTTCTCTCTGTGACTGTCACAGGTGCTGAATGCATTCCCAGTGCTCCTACGCATCCCAGGAGTAGCTGGCAGGGTCTTTCCCGCACAGAAGGCATTCTTGGCCCTGATGGATGAGCTGGTGACAGAGCACAGGGCAACGCTCGACCTGAGCCAGCCGCCCCGAGATCTGACGGATGCCTTCCTGTTTGAGGTGGACAAGGTGAAGTGCCGATTCTAAGGGAGTGATTAAGGACTGTGGGTTGAAGCTGTTGTGAGGTATGATATATGGTATGATATATGGTGGGTTCTGGGGTCTCTAGGGGTCTCAGTTTCACCCAGTACTCAGCACCTGGGTATATGGTACAGATGGGGTCCTTTAGCAACTTCCTTCCTCTTCCCTCTGAACCTGCCCTCTCTGGCTGGCCTAGGCCAAGGGAAACCCCGAGAGCAGCTTCAATGATGCGAATCTGCGCCTGGTTGTGGGTGACCTGTTCACGGCAGGGATGGTGACCACTTCAACCACGTTGGCCTGGGCCCTGCTGCTCATGATCCTGCACCCGGATGTGCAGCGTGAGCCGAACACGGATGGAGGGAGAGTGAGGGAGGAAAGGTAGCAGTAGGGTCTGCAAGCTGAGTTCATGGATACCATGAACTTTCCAAGGTCTTGTAAGCACGATGCCCTTCTCACTGGACACAGCCCTTGGTGGAGGGGTGAGAAGGCCAGGGAACAGTCACTGGGCACTAACTGTCCATGGGGACTCTTGTCTGTGCAGGCCGTGTTCAACAGGAAATTGATGAGGTGATAGGACAGGGGCGGCGCCCAGAGATGGCGGACCAGGCCCGCATGCCCTTCACCAACGCCGTTATTCATGAGGTGCAGCGCTTTGGAGACATCATCCCAATGAATTTACCCCACATGGCAACACGTGACATTGAGGTGCAGGGCTTCCTCATCCCCAAGGTAGGCCTGAGGCCCTCCTTCCCCAGCATGGGCACTCCCAGGTGAGCCAGGTAGCACCCAAGCCACCCAATCCAGGATTCTTTAGGTGCTACCAGGACCAATGTGGGTGTACATGATGCTGACTGCAGAGAGTATCACCCTGTCCCCGCAGGGCCCCTGGGATGATAGAATGAAAACTAAAACAAGTGTATTGGTGGAGCAGCTACTCAGAGAAATAGGTGGTAGTGGGACACCAGGGAGCCTTACCACTTGGACGTGCCATGGAATTATGGAGGGTGCTGAGAAGTTTCCGGGGCTGAGATTCACTGAAAGGGTCCATTTGTGTACCTGGAAGAGTATGCTTGTGTGTGCTTGTGGCAGAGGTACTTGTATGCCCTATCAGAATCCACTTCCTACCAGTCATCCTTTGGCAGGGAACAGGGTTAATTGTCAACCTGTCGTCTGTGCTGAAAGATGAGACTGTCTGGGAGAAGCCCTTCCACTTCCACCCGGAACACTTCCTGGATGCTGAAGGCCACTTTGTGAAGCACGAGGCCTTCATGCCATTCTCAGCAGGTACTTTTGGGGTGCCTGGCTCATTGATCCCTCTCAAGGATGCCTTTGAGAAGCAGAGTCCAGGGCCCAGACTGAGCCCCATGCCATCTGCAGGCCGCCGAGCATGCCTTGGGGAGCCCCTGGCCCGCATGGAGCTCTTCCTGTTTTTTACCTGCCTGCTGCAGCGCTTCAGCTTCTCGGTGCCTGAGGGGCAGCCCCGGCCCAGCGACCAAGGTGTCTTTGTTTTCCTGAACACCCCTTCCCCCTACGAGCTCTGTGCTGTGTCCCGCTAAAGGACAGAAACAGCTTTTCTGCATTTGGGGACTTGATGTAAATTAAAATCCTCTCTGACTACAAACTGGTGTGTTGGTCTCACCCTGCAGCTAGCCCTTGTCTCTGATGTATCCATAGCTGCTGTTCTATGTGAACCCTGATGCTGTCCTGGCCACTGGATTCCAGGAAAATCCAGTGGGTTTACAGATGCTCAGCTGTTCATAGCTCACTGCGTCTTACCCATGAGACTTAGCCCTGGCTCTGAGTTGTTCCCAGCCCCAGGCAACAGTCTGGGCTCTTCGGGTCTCAGTTAGGGGTTAAGGGTGAACGGGTTTCTGCTCTGAATCTCTGTAATCTTTGGCTGACTGACGGATGATACTGGTCATCCCCACAACCCTACTCATATTAAGTAAAGTCTTTGGTTTCACAGAACTAGAAAGGCCATTACTCTCACAGTTGTACTTAGGATGAGGAGAGGATAAAGGTGAAAATCTGCATCAGTCAGAGTCACACTGGGCAGAGTCCAGGAAGATAGGCACAGCATTCTGTCATGCTATGTGAGGAAAGTCATGCAGATGATGAGATCGCCAGCCACAAGGTGCGATACAGATTTATTACTACTCACTGGGGAGGCTCAGCCGACCCTGTGTCCAAAGATCTGACCTGACAGCATGGAGTATGCACATAGATGACTCCAGTGACTAACTGACCATCTCCTCCTGGGTCAGAATCAGCTTGAAACGCCCACTAGGTCACAGTAGTGGAATAAACTGTGGGATGTGCCCTATAGAGGCTGCTATACCAAGTCACTGTTACTAGGAAGTTTGTGCCATGGCTTTGGCTTGGGTTTCCCAGCTGCCCATCAGGAATCAGGAATTCGTTTTTAGCTTAGTTTGTTGAGGTTTCAGTCAATAATCAGGTGGCTCAAGCCAGTGTGACATGGCAGAGGGGCAACATTTCATGGCAGCAGAAGACAGTAACGGCAACAAGGGCAAAAGGCGCGTGGGGAGAAGCAAGCTTCTTTTCCTCCCTTCTGCTGCCTGCAGGCTACCTACCTTAGGATGTGTATAGTACTCATAACCAGAGTCCCAACATTGAACAATGAACAATCATTAATTCTACATTCAGCTGCTTCCAAAGTCCTAACCCTCAAGACTGCATGAGGCTTTGGTGGGACATTCAGAGACAAACCATAACACTGTGGCCCTGGCCCTCCAAAGACTTATGCACATCCATTTATGCAAAAGGCATTTAGTACATCTCTAATTGTTACCAAAGTCAAATATGCCATTGCTGAAAACTTCAAATCCTAAGTCTCCTCTAAGATATAAGGCAAACTTTTAGTTGTGAGCCTTTGAACAAATTAAAAGAAGCATCCAAAAGTCAATGGAACGAGTTAGACATTTTCATTCCAGAAGTTACAAACAGGGATAGAAAGAAATGAGATTAAAGCAAGTCCTCTACCCATCAGGCCAAACATTCAGCCCTGTGGTTCCACATGTAGCTTCTGAGGCAGTCTGTTAAGTTGTAAGCTCCAAAAGTGTTGTGTGGCTCTGCTTCTGTGGCATGTCCTGTGGGTGTAGCTTCCAGAGGTTGTTTCTTGGGCCATCTCTGCTCCGTCCTTGCAGTTTTCCTCAAGTGATCCATGTTTCTGACTTTCAAACTTCTGGCATCTCCACTGCAACTTTGGCCTCACACCCACAACTTTACACACAGCCCTCTCAGGGTCCCAATGACCTCAAAAGCCTTCTGAAACGAAGCTGGGAGACTTCTTAACCCCACAATTCAGATGTTCTGTATGCACCTCAAACAAGTACCATGTGGATGATGCCAAACTCTTTGCCAGCTGGAGCTATTGCCAGGCTTTTTTCATTCCTGGCTATAAGGTTCAAGTGCCTGTATTGCTGAGTACTCCTTATCTAATTCTGAGGAATAAATCCTCTGGGCTGCTACTCTTCTGGAACATGGTGTATCATGGGTTGTTTAAAGCAAAGTGTTTCACTTTTGCAATTTTGAGGCTGCAAAGTGTGTTGACTTGCTGCTTCCTGTGTTGCCGTCAGTCTACCTTTGTTATTATCCTGTTTTTTGTTTTTGTTTTTGTTTTGGCAATCAAGATCTCCTCAGCTCTTTCTTTGTGGTCCACAGCTTTACTGGGGCTTTCTTTGTGGACAACTCACAGCATTTTAAATCATTCTTCTGGGCTCTTTGTTACTTATCCTTAACATAAATCTGGCTAAAAGCCCCTAACAGTACCCTCAACATTAGACTCCCTTGAAATTTCTTGTTTCACATTAATTAATCCCCCTCCCTTAATTTCAGCCTCAGGCAAAGTTTCTGGACACCAGCAAATTGTAGATAAACTTTTTGCCAAGTCGTAACTCATTTGGTCGGGAGTCCAACAGCCAGTGCAGTCCTTCCCAGCAGAAACCTCCAGAGCCTGGTCTTAACAGGACTTTTATCAGCCTTCTGGTCTTCTGAGCTCTGACCAGAATCTCCCATACACAACAGCTGAAGGCATTCCGTCTGTTTTTCAGCTAGCATCTTTCCAATTTCTTCAAACTAGCCATTCCCAAAGGCTTCTGAACCACATACTAAGGTAAAACAGCAGTTACCTTCCTTCTCTGGTCCCAATTTCTATCTTAGTTACTTTTCTCTCATTGCTGAGAGAAAAGTTCACCCCAAAAGTTTAAGGGAGCTCTTTGGAGGTTTCAGTCCCTATCAGCTGTCTCCAAGTCAGGGTGGGATGATAGAGGGGCAGCAGTTCATAGTGACAGAAGACAAAAACAGCAATGGGAGTGGGGAGAGATTTTTTTCCTGCCTTTTATTGTATCGAGTCTGCCCACCCTAAGGTAGGTATAGCACTCATACCCCCAACCCCAGCATTAGACAATAAATCAATCATGAACTCTAGATTTAGGTGCCTCTCAAAAACCTGACCCCCAAAACCTCATGATGGTTTGAGGGCACATCCTAGCAGAAATCATAACAGCCTGTTTTCTCTGTTGATAGTGACATCAGATGAGATCAAGCATGTTCAGAGTGTTGTGGCTGTAGACATTAGTAACTTTGAGACATAATAGTTTTTAATCCTCATGAATCCAATTTTTCTTTCTTGCTTTTTGCTCTTGGTGCCTATGCAGTACAAGGTAGCCAATCCCAATGTGGTTCTTTCCCATGTTTGCTTGCTCTGTACTGCTGGTATGTTACCACGGACAACATAATAGATCCCAATGTGGATTCTGTCTCATATTTTCTTCTAAGAGTTTCGAATTTGAACTCATACAGTCAGAGGTGTGACCCATTTAAAGTTAATTTTTGAATTTTGATAGCTAAACTTCCAGTTTCGTTGTTATGCATTTGGATTTCCTGTTCTCAACGTTTTCTCAAAAGGCTTTCCTTTCCCAGGGGAATGGTTTTGCCAAATTTCCTGAAAATCATTTGGCCATATAGAATCATGGGCGCCTTTCTGTGAAGCATATATTGTGAGAAGGGCATTGTTAGAGGATTTGCTTGCTGGGTGGAATCCTAGAGTAGACTTATACAAACCTAAATAGTGTAGCCTAGTCTCACTGAGGCTGAATGGCAGTGTGTCCTCCTAAGCTAGAAACTCTTACAGGACTTCTCCTACCTTTTTTCTGCCCCCCCACCATTCCTTCCACTATTGCCCCTTCCTCTATTGGTCCTTTTGTTCGTCCTCCACCTTTAGCTGCTCCTCGTCCTCATTTCATTTATATTAGGAATTGACTTCACAGCCTTCACATACTGCTATATCCTCAGTCATTTTTTTTTTCATTTTTTTGAGCCAGGGTTTCCTAGGCAGTTCGGGCTGATCTTGAGCTCACTCTGTAGGCCATGCAGGTCTGAAACTTGCAACAATCCTCCTCCCTCAGCTTTTTGAGTGCGGGGATTTCAGGCATGCACCACCATGTCCCTCATAATTTTTAATCTCTTATTTTGAGACACTCCCAAAATGCTTAGATTATAGGCATGAATCACACTCACTGTACTACTTCTTCCTATGCTGAATGGTAATCACAGTTGTAACACAGTAAGTACAATGTTCTTTTGAGTAGGAAGTTTTCAGTGTCATTAAACTTTTATGAGACCACTGATATGTCAGTGGCCTGTTACTCACTTAGACATCCTTCCACAGCATCAGCACGTGTTGTTCATCAGGATTTATTTGTACGACTCCCACTCCAACTCAAGGGATTTCTGTTTAATATGTTAATTTTTTGATGACCCATGAGAATCCAGTCACAACATTTAACACATTTTTGAACGAGAGACTCTGAAGTCATAATGAACAACAATATATGTTACATTTACACAACCAATTTTAACATTATTTTGAGCAGTTGGCAAGCCATGCAGAAGCATGCTTTTTAAATCCATATCCCTAGTTATATTATGAACAAATGATTCAAAAATGCAAAAGAAAAGAGAAAATATTGTTGAGCTCAAAGAAAAAACAGCTGTGCATGGATATGACAAACAGACAAAGAAGTACCCAGCTAAACAGACTGGAGAAACAAACATCTTACAGAATCAGAGTCCACTTGAAACTATTTTTGCTCAAACTAATTCATTTTTTTTTTACAATTTTAGAAGTTATAGCAATAGACTAGTCAGATTTTGTGTAGGTCAATTAGCAGAGATCTCTTGCAAGAAGAATTTGGAAGGAATAAAATCTTTTATCCATAATCAATATACATTGTTGTATTCTAGTTTGTCTTAAGAATACTAGTGACTTTTGCATCTCTTTCACATAGGTTTCAGCTCAGTTATCTCTATACATTCAGTCACTTACTCAGACGTTTGATTCCTATGTTTGGATACCGTGTCCTGGTAATTCTGGGTCAGTTTCTTTAATTGGCCCCATGTGGATTCTAGCCCCGTCCTTCTCTATCATCTGTGGTGTGTTCGCTGAGGCTCACTGCCATAGGACTGAGCATGAGTTTCCTGAGTGGCAGAATCAACTACTTCTGTACATATGGGTCCATGATACAGCTGGACAGCATGCTCTGGTACCCAGACAAGCCATTGAGCGTTCTCTGGAAAGGCACAAGCATAGCCTGGACCCCA